AGCGCTTCTTCTGGGCTCAGCAGAAGCGTCAGGATCAGTGCCGCTTTCCAACTGATTGGTGCTTCTTCAGGGCTCAGCAGAAGCGCTAGGATCAGTGCCGAGCTCCAGCTGGAGCCTGACGCTGATCCTGGTGCGTCCGCTGAGCCCGGACACCCCTGCAGCTCCAGCCATCTCTCGCTCAGGCTTGTGTGGTGCTGCCACCGGTTCAGCCCATTCCCCTCCCCCGCTATCACTTTTCTAGGATGGTTGTGTACCACCTGCCAGGTGCCAATGTACCACAGGTGGTACCCATGCCACTGGTTGAAAAGCCCTCATCTAGGAAAACAAAAAAGTCCAGTTGCCTTTTGAAAAAGCACCTTGGGGCCAATTATGACCTGGACAACGACTGAGAATCTCCACAGAGGATTGGCATGGTTATCGCCGCCATCTTGATTTTTTGGACACCAGCTTGGGATCAGATGAGCCTGGAAGATCTGCTTTTAAACCTCTGCCCAAGCCTTACCCAGGCCTGTGAAGCCGTCCCTGGAAGTCACCCGGAGGTCTGGCAATCTCAAGGCTTCACATCCCCCTCCCCTTGTTGGAGCAGAAAGGGGGGGGGTCTCCCTGCTTCCAGGCTAGCACCTTCCCCACCACCCCAGATAGGTTTGGGGCTCAGAGGAAGGGACCGGCCCAAAGTCCCCAGGGAAATGCTGAATAATAATAATAATAATAATAATAATAATAATAATAATAATAACAACAACAACAACAACAATAACAATAACAATAACAATAATGATGTTGGAAAGGATCTTGGAGGTCATCTAGTCCAACCCTGCTCAGGCAGGAAACCCTATACCATTTCAGACAAATGGCTGTCCAGTCTCTTCTTAAAAACTTCCAGTGTTGGAGCATTCACAGCTTCTGGAGGCAGGTAGTTCCACTGGTTAATTGTTCTCACTGTCAGGAAGTTTCTCCTTAGTTCCAGGTTGCTTCTCTCCTTGATTAGTTTCTATCCGTTGCTTCTTGTCCTGCCTTCAGGCGCTTTGGAGAATAGCTTGACTCCCTCTTCTTTGTGGCAGCCCCTGAGATACTGGAAGACTGCTATCATGTCCCCCCTCGTCCTTCTCTTCATTAAACTAGACCTACCCAATTCCAGCAACCGTTCTTTATATGTTTTAGCCTCCAGTCCCCTAATCATCTTTGTTGCTCTTCTCTGCCTTCTTTCTAGAGTCTCAACATCTTTTTTACATTGTGGTGACCAAAACTGGATGCCGTATTTCAAGTGTGGCCTTACCAAGGGCTTGTAAAGTGGTATTAATACTTCAAATGATCTTGATTCTATCCCTCTGTTAATGCAGCCCAGCACTGTGTTGGCTTTTTTGGCAGCTGCAGCACACGGTTGACTCATAGTTAGGTGATTCTCCACTAGGCCTCCGAGATCCCTCTTACAGTTTCTACTATTGAGGAAGGTACCCCCTATACTATACCTGTACATTTGGTTTTTCTTGCCTAAATGTAGAACCTTACTTTTTTCACCCTTGAATTTCATTGTTAGATAGTGCCCAGTGTTCAAGTCTGTCCAGATCCTTCTGTATCTTAAGCCTGTCTTCTGGAGTGTTGGCTATTCCTGCCAGCTTGGTGTCGTCTGCAAATTTGATGAGTTCCCCATCTATCCCCTCGTCCAAATCATTGATGAAGATGTTGAAGAGCACTGGGCCCAGAACAGAGCCCTGGGGCACCCCACTACACACTGCTTGAAGGGGACCAGAATTGAAACTGGACCAGAACCGGCAGTCCTCAACAACAGTCGACTTAGTGACCGTTCCGAGTTACAACGGTACTGAAAAAAGGGACTTAGGATCATTTTTCACTCTTAACGACCGTTGCAGCATCCTCATGGTGATCAAAAATTCAGACGCTTAGCAACTGCTTCATATTTATGACGGTCGCAGTGTCCTGGGGTGTGTGTGTGTTTCACATTATCCCCTTTAGCGACCTTCTGATAAGCAAAGTCAAACGGGACAGAGCCGGATTCACCTCACAACCGTTGTCACTAACTGAACAAGCGCGGCGATTCGCTTAACAAGTGCATCAAGAAAAGTTGGTGAAACGGGCCAAAACTCATTTAAAACTGTCTCGTTTAGCCACGGAGATCTGGGGCTGACTGGTGGTCGTTAAGTTGAGGACTCCCTGGGCCCTAAACTGCCTCCCAGTTGCAGTTTTACCAGTTCACCCCTTCTGGAGACGCAGAGCCCGAACCGAACCGTAATTAATTCCCAGGACTGAAAAAAAGATCGTTCTGCTTTAGACTGGGCATTTTGCTCTGTTGTGTCTTAAGGGCTTCGTACAGCCGAAGGATCCCCCTGGCATCTCTCTCTCTCTCTCCAGACAAAGGCAGGCCCAGCTCGGGAGGAGGCCTCCAGACCCAAAGGTCCTCACTTACAGCCCAGTTTCTAAAAATAGAGGATCTCACTCCGTCCTGGAGCTGTTCCAATCTATGTTCTATTTTTAAGACAGTCCCACCCTTGACCGTAAAGCGGAAGCCGGTCAGAAGTCACTGGCCCGTCGCTTCCAGCATCCCCATTTCCTAACCCTGACCTCGCCTCCAGATCTGCGGGGCTGGGAGCTTCACAATGCACGTAGAAAGAGGGCAGTGCTTATGTGTACCCCACCTCCCTCCCCAGTAACCTTGGACCACCGTAACCGCCTCTAACCGCTTACAGGATTGAGGGTAGACTTGTAATATAGGCAGCCAAGATGCCACGTCTTCAGCACAAGAGGCCTCTGAAAGTCACAGATGAGAGGGAGGTTCACGTGTCCACGCTGTTGCTTGAAACAATGGATGGAAACTAATCAAGGAGAGAAGCAACCTGGAACTAAGGAGAAACTTCCTGACAGTGAGAACAATTAATCAGTGGAACTATCTGCCTCCAGAAGCGGTGAATGCTCCAACACTCTTTTAAGAAGAGACTGGACAGCCATTTGTCTGAAATAGTACAGGGCAGTGGTGGCGAACCTATGGCACGGGTGCCAGAGGCGGCACTCAGAGCCCTCTCTGTGTGGGCACGCGCGCCGTCGCCCTAGTCCTAGTCCTTCCACTGGGTTTTATAAAACCTTTTCGCTTTAGGCCTCCGCCGCCGTGTGCAAAAAAAAAAAAGGTCCAATCAATCAGTCAATTTCAACTTCTTGCAGGGAAAAAAAAAGATCTTGCAAAGTTGGAATTGATTGATGGAACTTTTTAGTCCCACCGTCTGCTGTTACCACCGCAGCCATGCCCACCCAATGGGCCACACCCACCCAGCACCCGACGATGCATAAATGGGTTTTGGGGTGCAGTTTCGGCACTCGGTCTCTAAAAGGTTCGCCATCACTGGTATAGGGTTTCCTGGCTGAGCAGGGGGTTGGATTAGATGACCTCCAAGGTCCCTTCCAACTTTATTATTATTATTATCTTTTATTCACTAAACATGAACCTCAGTCAACTGAACATTCAAACCGCCTGGTGCCGATGGTTGACACAGGTTGCTACCAGCATCCTAGGTGTCAACCAGGTATCTCCTTAAAATATGTTCCGAGTAGCGCAGTTTTTTGTAACATTGCTGGAGTTATTGCAGGAAACTGCAGTTTCTTGATGTATTTTGCCAAGTTTTTGGACATAGTTCCCAGTGCCCCGATGACAAATGGGTACCACTGTTACACGTTTCATCCATAATCGTGCAGTTTCGATGGCCAGGTCGCGATATTTCGTAATTTTTTCCAGTTCTTTTTCTTCGACTCTGGCATTTCCTGGTACAGCGATATCAATCAGCTGTACGCTTCGGTTCTGTACAACTGCGATATCCGGCGTGTTGTGTTCCAAATGGCGATCTGTCTGTATTCGAAAGTCCCACAAGATCTTCACCCTCTCATTCTCAACATTTTCCACCCTATATGTCATGGTTCCGAAAGATGAAGCTGTTCAAAGAACTTTGAGGCATTGTTTACCTTAAAGAATCTTTTAATTTGCAACATAGCTTCCTGCACGTACATAGAGAAGCCAAAATCTAAATTCTCCTCCCCCAGACACACAGTAACCAAGCATAACTCACTCCTTCATTTAACAGTCATTAATCACATTCTCCAATTAGTTTGAAGTGTGATCTATCCCTCCCGTTATCTCCTCTTATTACAACTAACCTTGAAGAATACCCTACTGAGATATTGTTATGGCTAACTAGTCCCCAAGCACATTCTTCCCCCCTCCCTTCCAGCAACATCTAATTTTAACTCTAAAAGTAACACACAGGTTAAATAGAAAATGTCTGCATCTTCATATATTGTCAAGCAAGAACATCCGATGTTAGCAGCATTGACACTATGTTTCCATGACTTTTCGGACACAGGCAAGTTGTATTTTTTTACACAATGCCCAGTGGATTAATTTAACAACTCGGTCATGTCTAGCTTTGTAATCAGTTTGTGCGATTTTGCTACACTCACAGATTAGATGTGAAACAGTTTCAACTTTGTCATTGCAAAGTCGGCAATTTGGATTGTCAGTGGATGATGATGATTATTATTATAATACTTACGTTTGCAGACTGGATACCGGGGGATCCTTAAATAGAGGAAAGATTACAGGACCCATTTTGGGGTGTCAGGCTACCAAAATGGCACCCCTTTGTTCTACAAACCCCTCTCAATGTTTTGCACCACAGGGGCTGTTATTCAGCGGTTAGTCTCTCATCGTTATCAGTAACCACAGATTCAAACTTTCTGCAGTGGCAAATTGATACTAAATCTCCCAGGCAGAGATCTTCTCCCCCATTTTGAGGCATACATTGTGAACACAAAAGGCAGACTGGACCTTTATATAGCTTTTATTAGAAAGGATACAATCCACGTTTATCAACAGGCGATTTGACCCGGAGGGCATCCACACGCAAGAGTAGGGAGGAGAGAAAACACCCAGGAAGACGGCGGGATCTGCCGGCAGCCTTCAGCGAGTTGGGACGAAGTCTTCCAGGATGTCTCCCATTTTTCTAGGCTCTAGCAAAACAGGACATGATCCCTGCTGATGAAGCTTTATTCGTAAACCAAAGACACGGAAAAAGCACTGCCTGTATATTTACCGTAAACTTCAGGTATCAATCTTGTTTACACTTCCTTAAAGAGAATTTAAGCAAGCAAGAGTTTCTGTTAAGAAGCTCTAAAGTCACTTCTATTTATTTATTAATTTAATTTTTATCCCGCCCTTCTCCTTACGGACTCAGGGCGGCTGACAGCCTTATAAAACAGATACAACAATAAAAATACCCCGTTTAAAACCTAATTAAAAAGAAATATTTACTATGGCCTATGTCAATTAAAATTACTCTTAAAACCCCCCTAAAAATTCCCCTAGGCCAATCCCGCTTGTTGGAAGAGCCATGTCTTTAGGGCGCGGCGGAAGGAGGGGAGATCCGGGATCACCCAGATCTCTGGGGGTAGTTCGTTCCAGAGGGTGGGAGCTCCCACCGAGAAGGCCCTCCCCCTGGAGGTCGCCAGCCAGCACTGTCTGGCTGACGGCACCCTGAGGAGACCCACTCTATGGGAGCGTACCGGCCGATGGGAGGTAATCTGCGGCAGAAGGCGGTCTCGGAGATATCCAGGTCCGATGCCATGGAGCGCTTTGAAGATGATGACCAGCACCTTGAAGCGCACCAGGAAGGCTACCGGCAACCAGTGCAGCTCGCGCAGCAGCGGTGTTACATGGGAGCGACGAGTCCCTCCCAACACCGCCCGCGCGGCCGCGTTCTGGACCAGTTGGAGCCTCCGGGTGCTCCTTCTAAGGAAAATGTTGATTTATTGTGGAAAAGCCCGATTCCTTAGTCCTATAGGTTTGTCCCCTGTTCATAGGGGGTGACCAGGATTGTCCATCAAGGGGTCTGTTCTGCTAAAAGCCAGCTTGATGCAGTAGTTCAGGCAGCAGACTAGAACCCAGGAGGTGGCGAGTTCTAGTCCTGCCTCAGTCATGAAAGCCAATTCAGTGACTTTGGGCCAGTCCCTCCCTCTTAACCCTAGGAAGAAGAGCAAACCACATCCAAAAACGTTGCCAAGAAAATATGCACGAACGTATTTAAACAGTTGCCAAGAATCAAGACTCAAACAATGTAAACTTACCCCAAATTCCCAGATTTTGATACCCGAAAATCTGTCCAGTTCCATATACTCCTGACACTTGACAATTCACAACAATCCAGCTATTGCTGAACTATAATTTCCAGCCTCCTCAACACTATCTGGCTGTGGCTGACACCCAGGGCATTGGTGTAGATTTGTAAAGGCTTTGTGACAACTCGCTTGAGGCATTATTTGGGGGGGGGGGGTGTCTTTATCTCATCCATGCTGTGGGCAACTCAAGAGGAACAGCTGGGGGTCCCATCACCTGCCTTAGAAAACAGCTGCTTTCCCCCCCCCTCTAATTTCTCTTTAAGCCTTTGAGCAGCTCTTCTGGAATGTGTTTCACACCAAAGTACCTTTCTCCACAAAGTCCTCGGGATGGTGCTTTATGTAACTGAAAAGCTCCCTGTCCCTCTCAGCGTAGTAGTAATTGGAGTATCTCTTGATGTAGTAGCCCAAACAAAACCCCAGAGTGGCCATCAGGACTTGACGGTGGACACCTGGAAAAGATCAAGAGAGCAAAGGGACAAGTTCAACAAGCTGACACAAAATTCCCAAATGGCACTTCAAATGGTATACAGCAGGGGTCCCCAACCCCTGGTCCGTGGACCGGTACTGGGCCGCGGCATGCCAGCAACTGGTTCACACAAACAAGCAAAGCCCCATCCGCAGGATGCAGGCAGCACACAAAACCACGCACCCTCCGGTCCACGGAAAAAGCTCTCTCCACGGAACCGGTCCCTGGTGCCCCAAAGGTTGGGGACCTCTGGTATAGAGCAGGTAGCTGTCACTAGGATGATGCCTACAAAGGCATGAAGACGACAAGCTGAACTTGGTCTGGACCAGGGGTAGGCAACTTCGGCTCTTTTATGACTCATGGACTTCAACTCCCAGAATTCCTGAGCCCGCAGAGCTGACTCAGGAATTTTGGGAGTTGAAGTCCATGAGTCATAAAAGAGCCAAGGTTGCCTACCCTTAACTACATCTGCTGTGTTCCTCAATTTCCTCCTTCTTTCCCTCCTCTTCCTCCTCATTGCATAGTGGATTAACAATAACAATAACGATAGAGTTGGAAGGGGCCTTGGGGGTCTTCTAGTCCAACCCCCTGCTTAGGCAGGAAACCCTATCATTTCAGACAAATGGTTGTCCAATCTCTTCTTTTAAAATTTCCAGTGTTGGAGCATTCAGAACTTCTGGAGGCATCTATACCCTATACCCTACTTCAGACACTGATTAATTGTTCTAACTGCCGGGAAATTTCTTCTTGGTTCTAGGTTGCTTCTCTCTTTGATTAGTTTCCATCCATTCTTGTCTTGTCCTCAGGTGCTTTGGAGAATAGCTTGACTCCCTCTTCTTTGTGGCAACCCCTTGGATATTGGAAGACTGCTATCCTGTCAGCCCTAGTCCTTCTCTTCATTAAACTAAACATACCCAATTCCAGTCACCATTCTTCGTATGTTTTAGCCTCCAGTCCTCTAATGCTCTTCTCTGCACTCTTTCTAGAGTCTCAACGCCTTTTTTACATTGTGACGACCAAAATGGACACTGTATTCCAAGTGTGGCCTTACCAAGGTGTTGTAAAATAGTATTAAACTTCATGTGGTCTTGATTCTATCCCTCTTATCCCATTTTTCAGCTCTGTCCTAGCAGACCATCACTTCCACACGCATCTTCCCACATTAACGCTGCTGGTATTCAGTTCCCATGCCAGACATTCTTCACAAGCAATCATCATTTTAAAAAGAGAACGGTAAAGCCTTCGGTTCTCTCTGAGCTTGGATGTTTGTTTGCAGACATTCATTACCCAATGGATCCTATGATTATATGAGTGGCTGCCTTATATATCAGGGGTCCCCAACCTTGGGCACTTTATGACTTGTGGACCTCAAGCATGGCTGAGGAATTCTGGGAGTTGAGGTCCACAAGTCATAAAGTGGGCAAGGTTGGAGACCCCACTTATATATAGCATTTTGCTCTCCAAGTGTTGAGGGGGCTGCAGTTTATTCCTTGGTAGTTCCTTGATTGCATGTAGTATTTTTTTTCTCCCCGTTTTTATTTTTTTTGTCCAGTGTTAATCCCCGTTTATCTCACTGTGGGCTGCAACAGAGAAATTCTTCCGGTCTTTTTCATTTATATTTTTTTTTATTATTGTCTCTTTTGAATGGTGGGCAAATATAGTTTGTCCCTACCTGATGGCTGATTTACCTGAAGGTCAGTCTTCCACGAGTTCCCTAGCATTTTAATCACATTTAATTATGTTTGTATATTAAAATTATATTTAATAATAGTAAAAACAACTTATTATTCTCAGGCTTGGGCTAAGAGACTAATAAAGGTCGTTTGGGGTGACCTTGGCCAGACTGTCCTACTTCGCAGGGCTGTTGTGTGTGTGTGTGGGGGGGAGAAAGATATGAAGGCATTAATTGCCCCTTGACCCCAAAGAGGGAGGCAAGAGGACCACCTAATAAATTAATCAAATCCTCCATTTGGGCCCACCAGGAAGGGACCCCTCGGGAGCATCGACTCCACCGGAGGTCAGACCGGGATCCTCCCGACCCTGACTCCGGATGGGGCTTCTCTTGGCTCCTCCTCGGCTGTGGATTATGGGCATGCGGCTCTTTACTTCCGGCTCCCCGCTTCCTTGAGCTCTGCGTGCTGGTTAGCAGCGACGGGGATCCTGTCCGCGGAAGGGCCGGACGGGGCCTCGATGGGCAGCCCGGGGACCCCCCCCCCAAAGAGCGGAAGGACGGGGGACCACGCGGAAGGGCCCGGCGACTGACCCGCGCGCAGGGCGGGCCTGCGGTTGACGCCGTTGTGCAGCAAGGTGCTGATCCAGAAGATGCCCGCCATCCACACGGAGGGGAAGGTGAGCAGCGGCGGCGGCGGCAGCGAGAGCGCCTCGTTGGGGACGGAGAAGCGGAGCTGCATGGCGACGGCTGGAGCGGCGGAGGGTCCGGCCCGCAACACCTTCCCTCCAGCCCGCGCGGCCCGCCGAGGAAGGTTCCGCCCTCCTTCCTGGAGCAAGGGGCGGGGCTCAGCAGCGCCGGCCCCTCCCCGCCGCCTCCGAGCCCGGATTGGCCGGGGGGCGTGGCCGCTTTCCGCCAGGGTGGGGTTCGCGCGGAAGGGCCGATTGGCAGGGAGGAAACAGCTGGACGGAGCTTGCATTGAATAGAACAGAGCTCGAAAGGCTAGGCCAGGGGTAGGCAACCTTGGCTCTTTTATGACTCGTGGACTTCAACTCCCAGAATTCCTCAGCCAGCCATGCTGAGGGGAAAGGGAGAGGTTTCCAAGCTGAGCCATGCTGGCTCAGGAATTCTGGGAGTTGAAGTCCACGAGTCATGAAGGGGCCATCGTTCCTCCCATGCTGGCTCAGGAATTCTGGGAGTTGAAGTCCATAAGTTATGAAGGGGCCAAAGTTTCCCCCATGCTGGCTGAGGAATTCTGGGAGTTGAAGTCCACCAGTCATGAAGGGGCCATACTTCCCCCATGCTGGCTGAGGAATTCTGGGAGTTGAAGTCCCCAAGTCATGAAGGGGCCATA